ACCTACAGATCCAGTAATATAATTGGAAACTTCAACACTCCTATTTCATTAATTGATACATCAAGGAGAGAATCAGTAAACTAAACCAAATTATAATGACAAAAATCAGCTTCATTTAACTGACAATTATAGAACAGTCTGTCCAACAGCGTTAGAATTTACACTCTTCTCAAGTTCATATGAGACATTCACCTAGGTGGACTACATTCTGGGTCATGAAACATACCTTAACAAATTTATAAGAGTAGAAATCATACAAAGCATGTTAGTAGACTACAGTGAAATTAAATTAAAAATCAGCAATAGAAAGACAGTTGGAAAAACTCACACTATTTGGATATTAAAACAACATACTTTAAAATACCATGAGTCCAATTTTCACCATTATGTCTCCTAAAGCAAGGGACATAAAGGAATAAACAAATGGGACCTCATCAAATTAAAAAGCTTCTGCATGGCTAAAGAAAACAGCATTAAAATGAAAAGAGAACCAACTATATGGGAAAACATATTTTCCAATGATACCTCAGACAAGGGTCTGATCTCCAAAATATACAAAGACCTCACCTGACTCCATTTCAGGAAGACAACAAACTCTTAAAAAATGGGCAAAGGACTTGAACAGACACTTCTCCAAGCAGAACACACAGAGGGCCCAGAGACATATGAAAAGATGCTCAGCATCACTACCCATCAGAGATGCAAATTAAAACCACAATGAGATACCACTTCACACTGGTCGGAATGGCCATCATAAACAAATCAACAAACAAGTGTTGGAGAGGTTGTGGAGAAAAGGGAACCCCAGCGCACTGGTGGTGGGACTGCAGACTGGTGCAGCCACTGTGGAAAACAGTATGAAATTTCCTCAGAAAACTAAAAATGGAATTACCTTTTGACCTGGCAATTTCACTTCCAGGGTTATATCCTAAGAACCCTGAAACACCAGTCCAAAAGAACCTATGCACCCCAATGTTCATAGCAGCACAATTTACAGTAGCCAAGTGCTGGAAGCAACCTAAGTGCCCACCAGAAAATGAGTGGATCAAAAAACTGTGGTACATTTACACAATGGAATACTATGCAGCAGAAAGAAGGAGCTCCTACCCTTTGTGACAGCATGGATGGATCTGGAGAGCATTGTGCTGAGTGAAATAAGCCAGGCGGTGAAAGACAAATACCAGATCTCACCTTTAACAGGAACCTAATCACCAAAACAAATGATCAAGCAAAATACAGCCAGAGACATTGAAATTAAGAATGATCTGACAGTAACCAGAGGGAGGTGGGGGGAGGGGAATGGAGGGAAGGGGGGAAGGGTTAGGGTTAGGTTTTCAAAGGAATAACTGGTAGCAGTCTTGAGGAAACAAACCCTGGTGGCAACACAACAGTCTTGGAGGGTATGTCACAGATTTACTTCCAAAATTCAATAAGGCAAAGTACACACACAATTTAACCTTCCAAAAAATGAAAGTTCTCTATTCTCAAAATGCAGGTAATTTTTCTCCCAATCTGTATGATAAGTAATCTAGTTTTTAATTACATAAAGAAGTAAACCATATAGATTATACAATCATCATAACATCGTATACTTTGCTGAGTAAGTACAATCTATAAGAAGAAATAGTAAAGCAAGAGAGGTCTGTAAATATAATTAGTTCTAAGTTGGCAAATATCCAACTAAGAAATTCACAGGAAGAGACAGCAGAGGGTCTCAGGGAGTCCAGTTTTCAGATGTGATCTCAGCCCAGTTGTCACGGGGACACCAAATCCTTTTGTTGGCGGTTAACAGGCCGTCTCGCGTGTGCGGGGCACTGGCGCACAACAGTAGTTATGTTCTACCTCACAAATGACTATACTTCATTGAGTTTACGCTGAGTAGGGCAGTGTTTGCAAACCACTTAGATTCCAGGATGGAAAGAGCTACAAAAATGAAACATGCAGTCCTTCTCTGAGGTTTGTTATTAGCCTCTGTTAGCCACAGGTTACAGGGCACTAAACACTACATACTGTGTGTTTGCTCGTAACCACTATGAAAAATAGCCTGTAACATCTTTCTGAAGACTCCTACAAAATTTTAAGGGAATTCAAAATCTGGGAATTCAACTGGGATATAGTTCAATTCTTAGAACTAGTTCTTATAAAAAATAACTCATCAATTCTTTCTTAGGTATCAATTCAATTTTGTTTCAACCCACACTAATGAATAGACTATTACTACAGCTTAATGCTACTGGGGGGAGGGGGAGCGAAGAGGGTAAAATAATCAGTTAAATTAATTCCCAGACTACAAATAAGCCTCTTCATGGATGTTAAGAAAAGATTCTTTTAAAAAAGATTCACTAGCTTAATAGCCCAGATGGCTTTAAGGTTATTCTTGCTATATGCAACATATAAGCTACAAAAACTAAAACAAAATCCTAAGACTGATATCCTCAAAACAGCTTATCAAAATATTATTTATGTAAGAGTGCTATTCTGTGGCACATGCACTAAAATCCAAGGAATTCATGAGATAGGCTATATACAGCACCTTCAACAACTCTAGAAACAGCACTGATCCACTTAAAGAACAATTATATGATAATATAAAGTTATTAAATATACTAAAATGTATTAGAATATTTGTGAAAGCATTGTTCTTAAAAGTAACATTTCCCCCAATTTATGGTAGTAAATTATAGTCAGAGCTTCTCTGGCCTTAATAAAAAAAATTTACACATATTTTAACAAAAGAAACTACTGGTAAATGTACTTTATGTATTTTGTATAGAATTTAATTTAGAATCCCTGGAAAGCAGAGAAAATTTATTATATTTTCATTAATTTCTGACAAGTCATTTTATCACATCAGATTTAAAAGTTTCCTGAAACAATTTCATGAAAATGTTCATGAACTTCTCAGAAATACTACAGTATATTGTTGTTTAATAAAACATGCTGTATGCTTATAACATTCACAGCAATTGTAAAATATAAATAATATAAGACACCATCAAAGAGAAAAGAGACATGTACCTTTAAAAGAGAAATTTTATGTTGACAAGTTCTAAAAGAGAACATAACATTCACTTCCTCCCAAAATATGAGGTACAGAAGTAAACAGAGAAATTTTACTATACTCAAGTACTCTCAGAAAAGATGGAAATTTCTGAAATTTCTACAAATTTGCCCACTAATGCCTACTGATTACAAGCAGATATGTAATAGAATAAAACATGCATGTACAAAATGATTTGAGGGAACAGTCATACAACACTGTCAATGTACTAAATACCTCTGGTTATATGTACTTTTTTAATGTTTATTTTCTATTATGTATATTTCATATCAATATTAATTTTTGTATAAGACCATAATTTTATAATATTAACAAACTAAATAATCTCAATATATCAAATAATAAATTTTTAAATGATTTGACATATGATAAAATTGAAAGAATCCAATACATGAGTGTTATATTCCCCTAAATTGTAAGTGGATTTATGAAATGAATTTTATATTATTTACCCCAAGATGTATAACATCTTCCTGTTCTCCACTAATTCTAGCTACACCTATAAACCATAAAAAAATTCTATTTGACACTCAGATTCAAATATCATAGGAAACTTGACTAATTTTCATTTTTTAAAAAATCTGTGTCCTTGAAAATATATTTTAATGGAATAAAGAAAGATTGTTATTTTCAATCCCATTTTACCAAGTATGTGAGTGAAACAAAGACAATTGATTCCCACAGTTTTTGTCCAGCAATTTTTCTTTAGCTTAATATCTACTTTAATCATAATCAGTTTAAAACAAAAAAAATTAAACAACAATAAAGCCAGAAACTAAAATGTGAGATATACCTTTTAAAAGAAAAATGAACACATACAAAGTATCAAGTTATATGGTCACAAGTAGAAATGTTAAATGAGCAGAAAGACTTTTTAGGAGACAAAGAACAATGTGGTAGAAAAGGCAAAGAAGAAAGAGTTCCAAGAGCACAATCTATATATCAATAATATAAAAAACAAAACTCTTAGACCATTATAGATGATTCTGCACCCTATGAAGCCTCATATCTGTTATAAAATAATTCAGATTCTATTTTCCATCAAAAATTAAAGCAATGGTATTTAACAATCATCAAACTTCATAAAGAAAAGTGCTTATCATTATCTGTCTTCGTCTTCTAGATTCATTTCTTAATGAGTAACACAGTTCCACATAACCAAGTTATGATTCTCCCACTGAAAACCTCAAACTCCCCCATGCCTCATGGTGATGTGAAAAATACATACTAATAAAAAATGGAATAAAAAGCATAAACTAATAGCATGTCCATAATTAACTTTTTAAAGTATACTACTACCATGCTCATTTCCTATCTGTACAGTAATTTAAAAACGTAAGTTATGTCTATATAAGCTCATTTTGCCAAATGCTTTTTGTTATATAATATATACATCTCCTTGTAAAAGACATTGTTATTATCATGCTAAAATATTGTATGTGCTTCCTACATATAATTAGTAATAGTTTTCTGATATAATATATTGATATTTCTATTAAATTTTGATAACTATATTTAGACTAGTTCATAATACAAAAATATAAACACATAAATATGCTTTTTGTCCTCACGACTTAAAATGAAATTAAATTTTCCCTTTCTATATTATTCATTCATTCAGCTCACACATTTTGAAAGTATCATTATGAAGTCAGCTAATATGAAAATATCACTTATCACTCCATTTCCTCAACTGCTGACAATACGACCTTGCACTACAAGTAACATATGAACATTAGAGTCACACGGGTTCCCTGACCCAAACTATCCCAAACATAATTTGGGGAAGATGAAATCCAAGGATCAGCACAAATACAAACGGGGTCTCGGTACTTATCAGGTAGAAACCACGTCAGACCGTGTGTGTGCACCCAACTGTGTGTGTGTTTGTGAGGGAAGTATTTCCAGTATCAGAATAATCACAGAATTCATGTCATACCTGTGCTCCATAGATATAGTTATCCAACATTTTGCCTCCTATTGTCTGCCCTCCTATATCCCAAACTTGAAGAGTAACATTCAAGTTCCCTAGAACATAAAAAAGTATATGTAAAATTAAGAATACAAAAAAAGTTAAGTAACAATGTAACAACTAAATACAGTTTCACAGAACACTAAATCACAACAGGAACCTCTGAACCTACGGTAATTTGCCTTTTAGTCTGCAGACCCATACAGTCAGATATCTGGAACTATGAAGTATTGTTATCAGAAGAAATCATAGTGGAAATTTAGGTTTATACTTTTATCCCATTTCCATAGAACCACATTTATAATCACCTTCAAAACAAAAGAAAATAAAGAAAGCTTTAATTCATAAATTTCTGAAGCCTTAAAAAAAATCTTAAACAGAGACTGGAACAATAAAGCACTTGTACCTGGAGTAAGAAATATACTTTAAAAATAAAAACTGAACTTTATATACTAACCTACCCTGTTACACATAATGAATTTTGATGTTAAATTCCATACTCTCAAGGTTCTAAAACCCTCAGAATGATAACAGACAACAAAAATGGCCCTTAATAAAACTTAAATGAATGGATTTTTAAAATCTGAATATCAGCTATTATATGTAATAATATACATAATAAAAATACATATTTTCTTATTTAACATAAAATATAAACACTTTTGATTCCCTCATCAGAAGTGAGGTAGGATACACCCTCCCTGTATTACTAACTATTCTGATGCACTTATACCTGTTCAAAGCATTTCCACTGAAACAAATTATAATACGTGCTTCCGTGATTTCATAAAAAAGTGTGTGAAGTCTTTTTCCATATGCAAGCATTGTAAAAGCATTCTAAAGTACAAAGCAATCTTTAAAATTACTTTGTTCATTTTGTAAAATATTTGATTGATACAAAAATTTATGAGATGAGCTACTCTATGTCAAACAATTAATGACTAAAAAAAGACCACGCTCAATATACTTTTTAGTTTAACATTTCAAATTATTCCTCCTGATAAAATTATGCAGTTTTCTCCACAGGGATACAAAGTCTCAGCACCTTCAAAATGAGCTCCCCCACCAAAAACTGTATCTTTCTGCATGACTTGCAAATTAGGAAAATTCAAAATAAAAACTTAGAAACTAAAAAAATGGTCTCACTTCAAAACCCAAAAAAAGGGTTATATAGATATGAATTTTTATACCAATGTAAAACACTAAAATCAGAGACTGTTAGTCACACCATTCCACTTCGAGACTAACAAGAAAGTACAACACTGGGATAAGTAGCCAAGTTTCGCCCTTAACTCTAGGGGTTGTTGGGTACGCATCACAACCTTCCCATCTTGAACAGGGACGGAGGTCAGCCCCATCTGCCAACAGGCAGAGGACTTACTCCAGGCACTCCCACCAGCATTGATAAGGGCTCTGAAGTCTACCACCCGTCCTGACGCCCCTCCCCTCCCCCCACACACACACGTTCAACGCTCACAGAGGCATGCCAGACATGTTCTTACAGCTCTACGCACACGAAAACTAAAATGTCACAGACTAAGACTTGTCCAATAACTTGTATAAACCTAATTCCTTAAAAAATCTAAATTTTTCAAGATTCAAAGCTGAAATCATCCCCCTATAATGCTGTCTCAAATTAAGCAGGTGACATAGGGCTAGCCATCACTAGAATTACATCAAATACTTTCAGAAGCCCTGAGATAAACATGCGGTGTTCTATTCATTTTATTTGCAAAACTCTTTATAATCATGTGTTTACTTCAAAAAAACAGTGTTCAACAATATTAACTTTTTTAGAGTAAGATTTTAGGCAACTTAATAAAAGGCACCTACTCCCATTTTTTTTCAAGGACAATAAACTCTATCACTTAACTTCCAGTCGGGAAATGTGAAACTTTTTTCCTTTAAGTTCTGATATTCAGACCCCATCTGAATTAAGTGTTGTGACTACTTCAGCTACAACTTTAGGAACGTGATTTTCACTACGTTTTCAAATTCTGACAACAATCAGCTGAAGACTCTAAATCATTTATTCAATTGTTTCTATCTAAGTGGTTTGTATTTACATGTTGAGGGTATTTTTAAATCCATATCTTTCCACATAAACACGGTTCGTTATGGTTGGCTTGTTTACTTGACATACATATTCTAGTGCCGCGGAAATAAAACCAGCTATGCATTACTGATAACCTATTAATATATGATGTTAGCCAAAAGAAAAAAACACTTTTACTATCATTATAACCTCAATAAATATTAACTGTATAGGTATTTCATGTATCTAGAAATATATTTTTAATTTCCATATTTGAATTTGAGTCTTATTAACAGATAAAAATAAATAAAATTACATAAAGATGGAATTCAAATCAACATTCATTTCAGTTTCTGCAGGCGTAAAGTGTCCCAGTATATTTTAAAAATGGCATAACTATAAAGTTGTATCAAAGTATTTAAATAACCAATATTGCAAAATTTTTTAAAAATCAAGAATTTTCTAACTAAAAAAAAGTTATAACTTTCATCAATCTAATCCCAAATGCAAAATGCTACAAAATCCCTGCTTCTCTGTGAGAAACAACATGTAACTAAAGAAAAATATAAAATAAAATAAATGAGGTGACAAAATACAGGTAAGTTGCTTTTGGTATGAATCAAAGCCACAAAGAGGATTCAACAGTGACCTTGTAAAAGTACACTTGGTGCCTTGGTTAACCTTACTTAAAGTGCTGCATAGTCAAGATGGAACTAAAAACACAAGTCTGCCCACTTCTTGTACTAAAGACTTAGAAATCCTTTTCACAGTAGAACGCTGTTTACTGGACTGTACCCACAAGCTTCCTGAAAGTATTTTGACTAAGGCTCTTAAGAAGCTCTATCAGCAGAATCTCTGACTAACAGATACACTATTTTAAGCAGTAAAATCTGCACAGTGGTTGCATCCAGACTATACAGCATACCAGATCATGAAATATACTAAAATAGATGAGTATTTGCAAAGTAATGACCTTGAAAATGTGCGTGAAGAAAATGTGACTAGATAGACAGGAGGTATTACACTGCTAACAATCCGAATGGACATAAGAGTTACTAGAACACTAACAAATATTAGATTTGACTACTGTGCTGCTTTACTGTAACTGCAATAATGCTACCTGCAATATTTAAGTAAATGATACAAATATTGATCATCTTACATTTAACACTTACAATGTATTAAAATTAAGGTTAAAGTATATTAAGGATGTACTATGTACTTTGTAAATTATTCACTTTTATTTCTTAATGTATCTATTAATTATATAAAATCAAGATACATTAAAACCATTTTTTCCTACTCAAATTTCTACCAGAATTTTGAGTCCATTAAGTAGCATAAAACCAACTGCCTTTTCAAAAAAAGGAAACTTTTTTTCTGGAACTCTGCCCATAAAAATAAAACTTAATAAGGAAAATTAAAATATATATTCATTGACTATACATTTCCTAGTGTTATTTTTTAACATAATTACTTTATAGCTCTAAAAATTATACTATAATTCTGAATTTCAAAAATACCAAATATTCTTTGCAAAGTAATCAAAATTTAAAAACTGGTAGTACTGTGCAACAGATCAGAAATCATCACATATATCAAATATATAAAATGTCCAAAACAAGTCTTAGAATGTGTTTGAGTAGATGCTTGCTCCTTTAAGTCTTTGAACTAAAAAATCAGAAAAATTAAACAATATTAATAATATAGAAAGATGGTGCTTTTGTTAGCATCAATAGAAACAGTCAATAACTAAATACATACTGAAGTTTTCTGTGTATAACTGGCATTTCTGAAAAAACTGCTGTAAAAAAAGTTTTTAGCATGTGTATTATGTGATTTGTGCGTGTATTCTGCTGGTGACTGCTGCAAATATGAATTTGGTAGTAACCTATCCATAAGAGTGAGAATAATAAAATGAAATGAAATTTTCAGTTTTGAATATATTAAAATAAAATACAAATGAAACTAAATATGCATCTGTTTCTCATTTAAACCTGTTGCTTAAAATAATCCATGATGGAAAATTACAATTCTTTTCTCATACTGTGTCTTATTTTCCATTGGTAGCTAACTAAATACAGACCATCACAAAATACAAGAGTATATTACCAGTAATATATGCAGAATACCTTTTGTTACCAAGAGTTTTCATGAGCTGCTCTAAGACTTTCATAGAGAGCCATCAGAGAGATGGGGTGTCTGAGAGATTATAATATTAGAATAATGTTGGATTTTATTAAACCCTTTACACTATCACTCATATTCCAGCACATGATTCTGACACTACACTTGCAACCGTTTTTATTCCAGTGGATTTCCTCAGAGAGGAGAGGGATGTGCTGGTTTATAAGGTCAATTAAGATAAACTGCTTTTAATAAAATTCTTTAAACATATAATTTAACCATCACAGTGAATGGACAGAGCATTTTAAAGCCCCAATTGTTCAGAAACTAACTTGAAACAGAAACCACTCTTTTTTTGTTATTATTTCCCTGTATTTCCCACAAAATGTGCTGCAACTGGCATCTAAATAGTTTCTTTGCATGGTGAACTGAAACATCTTGAATGCTCAAACTGTATTTTTATGAGTGCCTAGGGACCCTAAATTTTAGTGGTCTATTAAATGCCAGCAATTTCATGCTGCCTTGCATAAAACAGCATTCACATATTAGAGCACAGAAGTTCCATAGCTACATTATACTTCTGGTCCAACTTTCAAACAAAAAAACTGAAGCAGAGACTAATCAAAATAATATTTTAAAAAAATAATCCTTTCCAGTCTTTTCTGTTTAGTTTATACAATATCTGTTGATAATTGCATAGCATTTGCTTTCTTTATAACATTTTAGAATTTTATAAGCAACTATTGTTTATCCTTCAAAAAATCTGTAGCAGTCAAAAATCAGTAGGAGAGTGGACGAGTATTCATATATAAACTTCATTCCCATACATGGACAATGTCTTCATGGTACATGCTGATGAAAGTTAACCTCCCTAAGATAAATTTACTGATTACATATATTTTCACATAGAAGCAACCCCAAAATTTATTCTTCATGTTTCTGCCTATGTCTCTTATTGTAAAACATGCCCAATTTTCTTCGTTGTACTTTCAGTCTCTTACCTGGCAATGTTATCCTTCTCAAAAAGAAGTCCAGTCCTACAGTTTGTTTGTACTGTTTCCCAAAAGTTTCTTGAGCAAAACAGGTAGCTAAGGAGGTCTAAAAAAATTAATGCACATAGTATCAAAATTAATGACTTTGTCTTAGAAATACAGTATCACACCTAAATCTTATTAAGTAATCTTAATGTTCACACTCCCATTAATCCAACAAACAGCTTTAAGCAGCTCTAATCAGTTACCAGGGGAGGAGGGACTTCATGCTCTACCAGGTAAACATCACTTGCCAACAGCAATCAGGGGGACAACAGACTAATCAGTTAGATCTCCTTAAATCCCCTGACTGCCAAGCTCCTTCACCTAGCTGGACATTAGAATTTGAAATTTATCATTTGAAACAAAAGCATCCTGATAAAAGATCTGAATCATATCCATATATATAATCAGTTTAATTCAAATTTCAGAGAACTGTAAATTTCATTTCTGAGATTAAATATTTTAAGCAGTTTGTGCCCTCAGCCAATAATAAGAAACGATTAAGGAAGAGAAAGCTTGTTTATAGAATTTCTTTTCTTCTCACCAAACCACAAGAAAAGGATCATTATATATCCAATTTTTCTCTTTATTAAAGCTGTTAAATGAAAGTAATTCTATAGAATGACTGATAATACATAGCTTTTAAAAAGAGTTGGTATTTTTAAGATTAATATTAAACAGGCAAAAATAAATTATTTTCTACCCATGAACTAACTATAAAGCTTAAAAGTCATAGGAATATTATAACCAGAATAGATAGATACAGTACCTGCACTTTCATTAAAAAAACAACTCAAATGCCAAAAGAAACATGACAAATACCATATGATCTCACCCTTAACAGGAACCTAATCAACAAAACAAACAAACATGCAAAATATAACCAAAGACACTGAAATTGAGAACAGGCTGACAGTGACCAGAGGGGAGAGGGGAGGGAATTTCAAGGGAAAAGGGGGAGGGTTTGCAGGAACAAGTATAAAGGACACATGGACAATAACAAGGGGGGGGTAGAAACGGGAGGGAGGTGGGGAGGGCTGGGGGGGGGGTTGGGATGGGGGTAAAAGGCAGAAAACTGTACTTGAACAACAATTAAATTTTTAAAAAAACCTCAAAACTGTATTCAAAACTTGAGGGCTTTCTTTTAGAGAACCATTTCTTATTAAAGCAAAAGAGTAATTAATCATTCTGGTAACAAATGAAGTAAGTCAACTTACAAGCTTCTTAAACATTTTAAACTCACTACTTGTAAACTTTCCCAAATAAAAGAGAAAGGTGGCCTCATGAAGCTTTTATGCTCCTCAAGACAGACTACCAAAGTTAAGGAAAAACAGTACTTTTATTTTAAAAGTTAAAATTAGATGTCAACTCCTAAAATACTTAAGGTAAAATTCCCTACAGTTTATTATAATTAATTTTGAAATAAGTACAGCAGTGCAAAAGAAAAGGACCAAATTTTAATTCCTTTAAGCAAAAAAGACTTAAAATTCCTTAATTTTTCACACAAATGGCAACTTGCCCCAATTTCAATTCTTTTATAATAGTTAAAGATTCAGTATTTTAATAAATTTCTAAGACCATGGGTCAAATATGTATTGAGCACTACAAGAAAGATGTTCTGGTAGACAATGAGAAATAAACCCGCTACACCAAAATGAAAATTTATTTGGCTTCTGTAAAGCATATAACCATGCTATAAAAGCTGAGAAATCACAATAAAAAAGGTAAATATTCCTTTTTAAATCCTTTTTTTCATTCAGCCTTATCTATGCCGTTTAGCTTGTTTAACTCAGAGCACAAAATCATTTGTGAAGAGGCTTCGAGTTCTAGAGAAAAATAACTATCATCAACGCTACCTTAGATGTTTCAGAATGTTTAATACATGGGTGACTGAAACAGTATTTTAAGTCAAAGAAAAACTCAGGGCATATGTAACATCAGCATAATGTTATTTAAGGTAATTTTTCACTTTTAAGATCTCAAAGTTCAGTATTTTTATATTAATTCAGAAAAATTCTATGGTTCTCTTCTTGGAAACTTTTGAGGCAAACATAAAGCGAGGGTTTCAAATGAAATGAAGCGTAATCTGTCAAAAGGGTAGATCACTGGGAACACAAAATATTAAAATGGATTCTTAGGTCATCTCTGGACACCTTTCTATAATTACTGTAAAAATTAAACAGTATCAACCAAATCAGGAGGCACTTCCTCTTCAATTATGTGGTATTTGTGCTATTTTCCATATCCAATAACTTGTCACACATCATTATATAAATATCCTTCTTAAACAATTATCAAGTGAACCACCATCTACCATATCTGAAACATTTTATCTGATTCAGTGTATGTGGGGGGTGGTAAACTTTTGGTTAACAATTTCTAACCATACTACACTTACTAGTACTGAAAAGACATCATAAAAAACATTTTGCCTTAAAAAAACTTTTAAAATATGTAATAAAATCAAAAGTATGAATCAAAACAGGAAAGAAGTGGGAACATGTGTTACTAAGGGGAGGAGCTGAATTTCTCTCGGAGAAACTGTTGGTGGTCATCTCAATAATTTACTGCTTCTGCCAGTATGTATCAAAATTCTCTGAGCTAGAGCAAGCAAGACAAACTATTGCTACAAAAAGTGGCCAGGAGTTAAAGCAGAATACAAATTAGAATGAGAGAGAGGCTGAATCCATAAAAGAACAGGACAGTAAACGAATCAGAATGGCAATGTGGGCAGCTGCCAATAATTTGAGAACTAAATGGGGTGTGGAGACAAAAGTCTGACGCGTGCGTAAAGACAAAAGCTTGGGTTTCTGATGCTTGTATCTGAAAATTTCTGGAAGAAAAAGTCTTTGCAGTTTTAAAATCAAAATGATGAAAACTAAGTCGAAACACCATAAAGAATATCACTTATCCTCTGAAGTAGAATGACAGTTCTTCAACAGTACAGAAGGGGGAAAAATATGGTTTGCCCTATGCTGAATTTCAGACAGAGAAGAAAAATCATAATTATTCACACTAAATTAACAAGAAAAACACGTGTATGACAAGCTAAAAGAAAAATCTAGATACAGAATTATGAACCAATTTCAACTGAGTAATACATGTATGGTAACAGATACTGGGAAAAATAAAAGTTTAAAGAATTATGACAGAACGTAAAATAACGGGCAATTTTGTCTTTTTACAAGTGTATCAGTGTTATAAGTTGTCATTACAATTTTATACAGGAAATAAATTGCTATGATTTGACTGTAAAAAATTTAGGAAATAAAAAAATTACTAGGCACTCAGAAGAAAATATGATAGATAAGAATACAAAATGTAACTTAAATTTTTATTGAATAAGGGTGGTAGAAACAATGTGGATTGGTTTAAAACAATTCATCCATTCAAAAAGTTGTTTTAAGTGTACAAAAATTAATATAATTAATAACTTATAAAGAAAATGATCCCAAGTTCTTCTCTTCCCCAAAATACTTGCAGGTAATCAGAGCATATTAGGTAAATTGTTTTTCCTCAGCAATAAAAATCAATAACAAAATACAGAACAAGAAAGAAAGAAATTAACAGAATTCCCCAAATTTTGCACATGAAGGACCTGTTTCCCAGACACCCCCGAAAGCCAAATTCCAGAACCAAAGAGAAGGGGCAGCCGTGCTGTGCCAAATCCCAGAGATGTGGGAAGAGGCCAAGAGCATTCGTCACCAGGGAAACCAGGGTCCCAACCACGCCGGGAACAAGGAACTGGGAGGCGGAAAACGGGCAACTAACTGGTAGCAATAACCTGAAGGCTTCGGCTGGGAAAAGGGAGGGAAGAAAGGAGACAGAGACTTCAGCAGTAATCCCAGGAACAGTGCTGGCGCCTTTGGCAGAAGCGACAGGTGTGAAGGCACCCCGGCAGAGGGCCTTCGCTTTATTTGGGGGTTGGGTCACAGACCCCTTAGAGATCCTACGGACCGAGCTCTCGGAAGAGCAAGTACCGGGCAATGTTTACTCCGCAACCCTGTGCTAAACACCCCCGCCTCGGACGTGTGGGGGCTGGCTGCCTGCTATTCCCACGCACGCACGCATGCACGCACGCAGTCCCATTCATTCCACCGACCCCCCACCCCGAAAACTGGACTTCCAGGCGAGGACCCCCTCTGCCCTGCTAACAGCTCTCTACCCGCAGCACCCAGCCCGTACGAGGAGCCCAGCAGGTATTTGTGGAATGAATGTACTGACAGGTGCTGGGCTGGGGCACAGAGATGCGCAGGTATGGATGCCCAGAAAACAGCCGCTACCGTTCATTGAGTGCACCCACGTCCCTTTGGTGGATTTTCACACTGTGTCTTTGCACGCTTCACGCTTGGAGGCGACCCCCTAGCCCCACCCCCCTTACAGAGGGAGCACGAACAGGTTAGCAGCGTGCCCTCCAGTGACCCGACCGGTTAAGTCAATTCTCACCCAGGGGATCTGATTCCACAGCCAAGCTCGTGGGAGCTCCCAGGGATGTGGAGGCATCAGAAACGGTAATGGGGGGGGGGGTTGCGGGACGGGGGGGAGTCGGGAGCCTACAGTGAAAAGACAGGGGAAGCCTTGCCAGACCCTTGCCAGTCATCAGATGAGAGAAGCTGGAAGGCTTCCCGGGGAGGCGCTGCTGGCCCCTGGCTCGGAGCACAAGCAGGAAATCGCGATGCAGTCGGGGAGCTGGGAAGTGACTTTTTTCTTTCTTTTTTGTTTTTAATTTAAGTGGGGGTAGACAGGTCTCGCCGGCCTTGACCAAGTGCCTGTTTCGTGTCCAGCCCCAGGCTACGAGCAGGAAGGCTGGGGCCCAGAGGCCCCGGGACTCAGGGAGGAGGCTGGGGGCGCCGGGGCCGCCGAGGCCGCGCCGGGATCGCTGCAGGCGTGGACGGCGAGCCCGCTCGAGGACTGACCTTCCCGGAGGTGCCGTCCCCCAGCACGACGATTTTCAGTTGCCTGTCCTGGCTCTCCTCCTCAGAGTCCGACATGGTGAGCCGGGAACCAAGTCTGCCTCCCCCCGCCCGCCAAGGTAGAGGGAGGAAGGGAAGGAGAGAGCTCTGGGGGCGGGGAGAGAAAGAAGGGCGGCAGTCGGGGGTAGAACCCCTCTCCCCGGTGCCGCAGCGAGCGCTGGACAAATCCGGGCCGATCACTCGCCGGGCGCCATGTTGCCCACCCTCCCTCCACTCTCCACGCGGCCCGCCCCCTTCGCGCTACGTAGGACGCGCACGCCCACGTCTGCTCCAACCCGCGCCCACCCGCGAGCCTCCCCGGCGAGCCGCCCCATTCGCGGACCTGAGGCGGGGGAGACGGTCGCGGCGAGCAGACGAGGCACGTGGCTACCCTCGCCAGGACAGTAGGAGAGGGGTAAAGAAAAAGTGTATCTCTCACACGAGGTAGAAAAATGGACGTCTAGGAGGTGCTTAAGCATGCTATCAAATTTTCTTGTATCCATCTTCCCCAAGACTACCCCTGTGCGAATGGTGTGGCCCGCGTTGGGATGGGGGGAGATGATGCCTAGGCTGGCGCTTTGGTTGCCATGGAAGCCAGGCGTGTTAGGAAAGGCGGTGGGGCGGGGCCTGTCTCGGCGCCGGGCCAGCGGGTTGCCAGGGGCAGCACGCGGGGGCGGGGCCCTGGAGCTGGAACAACAGAATTTGATGTTTCATTCATCAAGCGTGTACCCTTGAGCAGGAGTTGCCAAAGCGTGGTCCGAGGAACCCTGGGGCTCGATAAAGGGAAAACTATTTTCATAATATTACACCTTTTTTTTTTTTTTTGCCTTTTTCACGTTCATTCTCTCACACGTATAGAGAAGTTTTCCGGAGGATGCATGAGGTGGATGACCTCACTCTGGCAGCAGCTAAGGGAGCCTGTGCTTATTCTGTTTCAAACATTTCTTCGTATTACTATCCAGGCAGTAGTGATGGCTATAACGTAAATAAACAAAGGTTCTCTGGGGCTATAGTAATTCTTAAGAATGTAGAGAGGACCTGAGCCCAAAATTTTGAGAACTACTATCCAGTAGGGTAGGTCAAAGACAAAACTAAAAATTTTAATAAGGTGAGATAAAATCCACAATAGTAATTCTTGCCTACCATGTCTGTCTCATTGTTAATTATTTGACTTGGATGATCGTGCTCACTCCTTATGGTAACTCTAAAAAAACACGTTGAATTATCCCATGTTACAGATGAGGAGGGTTACCTCACCAGAAGCAGAGCTCAGAGGCAATGTCCTGTGTGGAATATGAGTTTGAATAGGATAACAGTAGAGTGTAAGAAATGGGCAGCCAGGAGACAGCCCTGGAGCTCTAATTGCACACCTGCACTTACTGAGCGTGTGCCCTGAGCCACAGTTTCCTTACCTAGAAAATACACAGATGGTACTACTTCCCTCTCAGGGTTGAGAATGAAATGTCCTCATCGCCCACCCAACAGGGGTGTCCAACCTGCACCCTGGCATGCAGCCCAGGATGGCTATGAATGCAGCCCAACACAAAATCGTACGTTTACTTAAAACCTTTCTTTTTGCTCATCAGTTTTCATTAGTGTTTGTGTATTTAACGTGTGGCCCAAGACAACTCTTCTTCCACTGTGGCCCAGAGACGCCAAAAGGCTGGACACCCCTTGAAAAGGAACACAGCACAATGCTTGGCACATGGTAAGCACTCAGTGTTAACCGAACTTTACGATCACCCTAACCATCTGTCCCATGCTAGAACACTGCAGCTTTCCAGCCATGCAACCTTAGGTTTCCTAGGGAGACTCTCAGTCTCTTTGTCTGTAGACAGGGCTGGTCCACACTAGTAGCTACCCAGTTAGGATCCGTTCCCACCACTACCACCACCACTTTCTACATCACTGGGTGTGTTGCTGAGAATTAGAAGAAAAAGGCATGGGAAGGGGCTTTGCAGAATACTTTGTAAAGGTTAGTTTCAGGAATCTGTATCTCATAAGGATAGACTTAACTTTTGTCCATGAGAGAAGTTAAGGTGCAGAAACTTGTTTTTCCACTCTTGCTTAATGAAGAGGATTGTGTGACTCAGTTCTGATCAATGAGGTAGAAGAGGATGTCGTTATTTGAATGAGGACATATGTTTGGAACTAACTGCTCAGTCTTCAGTAGATCACCTTCCGGGCTTCTTGCTATGGGGAATAATGCTAAGGCACTTTAGTGATGTAATCCATTACTTGAAGACAAAAAGAAATTCTCAATTGGCACAATTATTTTGGCCAAAAGCTAGATTTAGCTATGGTAATGGGATTAATTTTCATGTGTAGTTTCATATGAAGGAAAATGTAGAGGAAATCTTTGCATTTGCCAATCACTAATTTCCTAAACAACTGCTTTGATGTTGAGGCATCATTTGTTTGGATATACTTTCATCCCTGTGACAGTGTTGCTACATGAAATAAAAAGCCAATTGCATTAAGTTAGTGACTATATTTTACACACCTGTGGCAAGATTCCAGGTTGAAAATTAGATTTGAAGACTTGGAGCCATATTTGTAAATTAAAAAGAAATAAATATTCCTCTGTGTGGAGTACCTTGCTGGCTAGCATTGAAAGCTTCCGGTATGGTGTATTACCACGCTAAAGAGAAATAGAGCTGATCCACAGAAAACAAAGATGGCTCTGTGGATCCTCTGTAAAATGCCCACGCAGGGCCATAAACTAGGGGAATCTTTTCCCGTGTTCTTAAAACTAGTAAGTTAACAAAATGCTTAAAGAAGAATTCTAGAAACAAGAAATTAGAGTTCTTTAGATATGAAGAAGTAAAAGTAATTCCACAAGAAAAACCTGACCGCTATCTATGAATCCAATTTCCCACCTAATTTTAAAATATCTTTTCTGGCATCTGTAACATATGATAATCCAGATTTTTGTTGGAATACATCCAGATTCAAGGAGTTTATTCCCTCATGAAGCAGCTTGGACGATGGCCCAGTTATTAGAATATTCTTTCTGAGGTGAGCTGAAGTCTACCTTTGTAAATTCCAACTAACAACATTGGCTGTGTCTTCTGGAGTAAAACAGACTTCCCCATTATAATAGAGGTCTTCAAATCAATTCACTATATTAATGATGGATTTGACAAATATTAAGTAAATGCCTTTTGTGTGCCAAGAATTCTTGTTCACAACTCTTCTAAGCAATGAGGACACACATACAAGTGAGCAAAATCTGCAAGGGCTCAGCTTGCATGGAATTTGTAATTTGGTGGAGAGATGTAGTAGGTTAGATAAAGACTGCCCCAACAATATCAGGCCCTAATCCCTGGAATGTGTAAATGCTACCTTATTTGGGAAAAGTATCCTGCAGATGGGAGTGAATTCATGAGTTTGAGATAAAGAGATTATCCTGGATTACCATCCTTAGAGAAAGAGGGTGGATTTGACCCAGTGGGACCACAGAGGCAGGGACTGGAGTGGTGTGACAAGCCAAGGAGTTCTCGCAGCCACTAGAACCTGGAGGAGGCAGGGAACTGATTTGCCCCCTGGCCTCCAAGGAGAGCACAGGCTTGTCAGCATCTGAACTTCAGTCTCAAGAACACTGATTTAGGACTTCTGCCCTCGGAAACTGTGGAAGAATAAAGGTATGTTCTTTTAACCCATCAGGTTTCTGGAAATGTTTTACTAATAAAAGGAGAAACACAGAAATTTCATAAATCAAACTTGAAAATTTCAGATTCAGATAAAGAAAGATTTTTTAGAAAACAGATGGTAGATGGGATAAAGTCTAAAAATACCTAAACATTTTGTTCAAACACTAAATAAGTGGAGAGATGTCCCATGTCCATGCATGGAAACACAATATTGTAAAATATAGCAATTCTACCAAAAGATCTATGAAGTCAATGCAATTCTAGTAAGATTTTTCTTAGAATTTGAAATAATGTATACGCAAGGCAAAGATCTAAGAATAATGGAGATATTCAAGGAAAAGAAAGGCAAATAACTTCCTTTACCAGATATCAAGACTTAGTATAAAATTAAAATAATTAAGATATAGTATATTTATTATTTCAGGAATATTATTATTATACTATATATTATTTCATTTTTTAGACAAATGGACCATTATAGCAAAACAGAGAGCCATGCATTGGGCTCCCACATACATGGAACTTTGATACATGACAAAGTATATATGACAGTAAATAAAAAGGGGAAAAGGATCATAGCTGGAACCCATATAGGAAAAGACATAAAATTGGAATCCTACACTTCATCATACACATACACACGTGCAAAACATAAAATTCAGTGAAATTAAGAATCTAAATGTGAAAAAATTTAAATAATTTGCAATGATTATCTTTCTTATCTCGGGATACTCATAGATTTCTTGAGCAAGACACAAAGAGTTAATCATAAAGGATAGTATAAAAGTTGCATTGAAATTAAAAACTGCTCCATCAAAAGATACCATACAGAAAAAAAAAAGAGGTTAGAAGTTACTATAACATCTGTTATTTAAGCCACCCAGTATTTTGTGATAGCAGCCCACACTAATGGAAACAGATTTGGAACACAATTTTGTACATAGCAATATCTAAAAGAAAAATAAGTGATAGCTGCCTAATTTTTTAAGCACTGAGAAGAGATTAGAATTTCTAGGTTTTCTTAAAGTATTATTAAACTACTATCATTAAAACTATGTGGAACAGGCACTGGAATAGATAGATGAATTTCTTCAAAAGAAAAATGGTCCTAATATATGAAAAAATTAAGTGGACAGTGAATGTGGTGTTTCTAATCAATGGTAAAATGTGATGTTACTCATTGGGTGTTCATTTTTCAAACTGAATGACTATCTCATTCCTTACATAAAAGTAAAAATATATTCTTAGAGGAAGCCATAACAAACTAAAAACTGGGTAAATATTTATCACTTGGAGTAGAAATAGTTTATCTAACCATGGTACCATTTTCCATAATCAATACCTGGCACTCAATGAAACCTTGGTATGTGAGGAACAAGACCTTAGTCACTCAAGTGACTAAAAATGAGGAGAAATTGTGGCCAATAGAAGTACACCCAGAGATGCAGGTATGAAACATGGGCTTTACATACATAGCTGATATGTGTAAGGGTTTATATGGCAAGATTGAGAATTGTGTTGGGGAAGTTGAAAATATAAAAAAGAATCACTGGAAATTATGAATAAAATGT